GAACAGCATGTGGTGCCAGGGATCGAACCCTGATCCTTGCACTTACCTAAGCAAGCACTTAGTCCACTGAGCTATATCGCTAGCCCTAAAACCCAAAATATAAATAAAGAGCAAAATAAAGGAAAGATGGTAAGAAATAGGGAGGTAGATTTTTTTTTTCATATAGGAAAGAGATTAGGAAGTGGGGGGGGATAGAGAAGAAGGGGCTACCAAAAGCATTTAGATGTGTCATGTACATGTACAAATATTCCACAAGAAATGTAATCATTATGTATTGGAAGCATGTACTAATAAAAATAAAAACTGGGGAACAAAGGTGACAAGAGCAACTTGTATTGTACTGAGGTCACTGTTCTTGGCCCATATGAGGCTTTGGGGTAGTAGCTGCTGGTCAGGTACACTAGGCCTCCATTAGAATCTTGGAAATTTTAGCTCCACACCAAGCTTGCAGGAAAAGGGCCTCAAGATTGAGCCAGTGACCAATGGCCAGTGATGTAATCAATCATGCCTACATGAGAGAACTTCCTAAAAGTCCTCCAAACCCCTAAGCAGTGAGGCTTAGGAGCTCTAGTTGGTGAAGCTAGGAGCACAACGTACCACAACTCCACAGGCACAGAGCTGCACTCAGATGCCTTCCAGATCTTGCTCTATGCATTGATGTCCTTGTATAGTAAACTATGAAAGTAACTACAGCATTTTCTTGAGTTCTGTTCATTTCTAACAAATTACTGAATCTGAGGAAAACTCCCACCTAACCGGGGACCTGATACTTACAACCACTATCTGAAGTGAGAACAGTTTTTGTGGGACTGAGCCCTAAAATGGGACTCTGATGCTAATTCTAGGTAGTATCAGAATGACAGCATACTAATTGTGTCAAGAGTAAAAATATCCCTTCAGACCCCTATTAAACTTTACACAATTAATTCCAATCTTTAAAAACTTCAAATTGTAACCATATTACTCAAATATGACTTGCACTGCATATACTTATGTCGTCCCCCCATCCCCCATTATTTCACCACAAACACAGCTCATTTTTTCAGGGACAAGCTTAAAACCTACTTTTGATGTCTAGGCTTCCCAGATCGTCATCCACAGCTGTCTTTTTTTCCCCATCTTTTTACTTAATATAGTATTTAATCATGGCACTTTTCACACTATGTCTTGAATTACAGTGGGCAAGGGATGCACAAAGAATCCTCCCCTAGAATTTTATGAGACAAGGGACAGTCTACAAAGTATTTTACCAGTTCTTAAAACTATTGAGGTCATCATGTCAAGGTCATCCAAAACAAGGAAATTCTGAGAAATTCTTACAGTCAAAAGGAGACCATGGTGACCTGATGATCAAATGTAATGTAGTATCCTGGTTGGGAGCCTGGAGCAAGGTTATTAGGTTAAAACCAAAGGAATCTGAACAAAGGCTATGAAAACAAACAACTCATTATAGTATGTTCTATGGATAGAACATAAACATGGAAAACAAGCCATTTGTAAACAATCTAGAAACCACTTACAAGAATTAATCCACAAAACATTAAAAATATGGCAAGTAAAACCACTTTGTGGCTATATTTTGTCAGCGCTTCAATTTATTTTATGTATTTAAAAGAAAGCAGGGCAGGGGATATAGCTCAGCACTTGACTGACAAGCACAAGTTACTGAGATCAATCTCTGGTACTGCAAAAATAAAGAAAGAAAGAAAAGAAAGCAAGCAGCACGTCTTTCAAATACAGATTTTTTTCAATGATTTAGTGCCTTTTCTCCCAAGTTAATAAAACAATGTATGTGTGTAATTAGTATCATGAAATAAGATTTCTGAAGAGAAATTCTCTTTTAAAGAGATATCTAACCTTTATATACCCATAAATATATTCCTTTATGACTATAAAGCAATTTGATGGAAAATTTTGGCTTATATTACTGTTTACTTTCAACAAGGTGAAATTTATAGTCTATATTTCACAGAATCTAAAAGACATCATTATTTCACATATGACATAAAAATGTTGTCAATTTTAAAATGTTGATTGTAAGAAGTAACCCAATTTTATAAATATTAAAATGTGAACATGTGTACTTAAGCAAATGAAATATAGGGCCAGGGAGACAGCTCAGCAGCATAAGTGCCTGCCTAGCAACCGCAAGATCATCAGTTCAATCCCTGGTACCAAAAAAAAAAAGCAAATGAAATATAGCTTTTTCTCACAGATTTTTTTTACTATTTGTTACGGTAATTTGGCTGTTGGGTATAATTTATGATAATGAATTTTATTTTCCATTCTCTAGCTTTTATCGAGTAATTTATAGATAAAAAAAGTTCATTAATACACTGAAAGGCCACATAATTCTCCAAAATTGGCAAGTGATCCAAAAGAAATGATTAATAGAAAATGGAAATGTCACCTGTGCATATTGTCTCACAATTAACAATAATTTAAAACATATAACCTTACTTTTATTATACTGAATTATCTTATAGTATGTTAATTTGTATTAGATCACATAGATTGTCAGAACTATTGAATTTACCTGAGGTAATGTTTTATTTATTTATTTATTTTTTGTATCTAGGACAGTGTCTACAAAGTCTATAGGGTCTCACTATGTAGATCGGACTCAGTGATTCTCCTGTTTTCAGCCTCCCAAGCACAGGGATTACAGGTGTGTGCCACTACACCTGGTCTCAAACGCTGTCTCAGTGAGCCCGGCAAACACGGTACACCAGAGATCGAATCCTGGTCACTGTGCTCTACCTAAGCAGGTACTTTACTCTGCTAGCTATCAGGCAGTCCCTAATATTTTGAATCTAATAAAAGGAATTTTAAAAACTTGTAAGTTGTAACATTAAATTAATACACCAACTTTCACCAACTTTATACATATAACCTCAAACACATTTCTCATTAAGAAAAAATATCTTTAAAGAGTTATTCTGAATTTTAAAAAGTTCTAATTGGTTCAATAGATGGAAAGCTGCCTTAAACACTTTGTTTAGAATTAAGGATAATTCTAGTTATATAAATGTTATGTAAGTATATTTTCTTTATAAATAAGTTCTGGAAGATCACCATATTCTGAAATGTAGGAAATAATTGTGTGTGTGTGTGTGTGTGTGTGTGTGTGTTGTCTTGTTTTCTGCTGGTCTTAGAAAAACCTAGATGGCACAGTTCTGCCGTTAAAATTACTTTTAGGATAGAGGTTACTTCACAAGTTAACAAGGATGGACCAGTAAGATAGCTCAGTGGACTAAGCGCCTGCTTTGGCAAGTGCAGGGACCAGAGCTTCAATCCCCAGTCCCACATGCAGTGCCACCCCTCCCCCTAGAGTAAGCTGAGCAGGCAACCGAGTATGGGTGTGGTGGCACATGCCTGTAATCCCAGCGATGGGGAGGCTGAAAACAGAAGGATTACTAAGAGTCTGAGCTGCATAGTGAGACCCTGTGCCAAATACATAAAACGAAAAAGAAAAAAGGCTGAGGGCTGGCCAGATAGCTCAGTGGATTACAGTGCCTGCTTAGGCAGACACAGGACCAGTGTTCAATTCCCCCACCTGCCATGCCAGCCCCACCCCTGGGGTGTGCCTGTAATCCCAGCACATGGGAGGCTGAAAACAGGAGGATCACTACAAGTCCGATCTGTGTAGTGAGATCCTGTAGAACCTGTACTAAATACATTTTTAAAAAAGGTGGAGTTCACAGCCAGTTTCTTCAGGTACCTTAAAAACATAAAAACAAAAATTTGGATAATCTAAAATTCCATAATTTTTACAGTATAACAACTCTTAAATAGTATATCTTGTAGTGATTTGAATTAGCTACAGTGATAATGGCTAATTCATTACAGAATTTCTCTGAAAATAAAAATTTCTAAAGGTGTATGGTTGGAATTCTAGGAATATTAATATATCACACCAAAACTTCCATGAACGAACTTCAGTGTTTTCATATCAATCTTTAGACTGATCATAAAAGAGGAATACAGTACACGGTACACATTTCATTGTAAAACATCCTGTTTCTAACTTTCCAAATTACACCAATCAGGGCTGCGAGATAGCTCAGTGGTCTAACCGCCTACCTGGCAAGCACAAGGACCTGAGTTTGATCCCCATTGCTGTGCCGGTGACACATGCCTGTAATCCCAGTGCTGGTGATACTGAGACAGGAGGATCACTAGGAGTCAGAACTGCACAGCAAGATCCTGTATCAAAGAAACAAATTACACCACTCAAATATGCTCTTGAGATTCAGCTGTGAGCTATGTACAGAGTGGCCAGGATGAAGAGAAACAGCAAGGAGCCTGGTACAGGGATGGGCCCCAGAACACCCAGAACCTAACAAATGGATTTCCTTGCAGAAAGGATTGCTGAACTTGGTGACAGGTATAGACAGGATTAGATCCACACTCCAAACAAGAATTGATTTTCTTTTTATTAGACTGAAATTTAAAAGATGTCCCTTATGAAGACAGGATTGGTTGCATGCGGATTTTTTGAGCCTCATGGATTTACAATACTATTTGATTGCCTGGGTAATAACACTGGTGGAAACACTGGAATTAGACACACCCACTATGTTACTGGCTACTAAAAGTGGTCTTAAGAAGGGCTTTGACTACATGCAAAGAGGAAAGTGATCGATGACATAGAGTGGGCCTAAGGAGAGTCACATGGGGAGAAGATACTCTCTCGGGCTTTCACAGAGAGCACATTGGCCAAGAAATTGGCCGTGACTCATCCACATGGCTGCACTGATAAAGGTTCTACAATCTGAGGTACAGGATCTCAGGACAAATCCTGAGGGCAGTTCACTGACCTT